TCAGGTAGGATTTCATTTTCAAGTTTATTTTCACTGCTCTTTGAACTGTAATAGCTGAAACTCCTCTCTCACGTGCCAAATGCCTTATGTATTGAGTTGGATCTTTTCTCTTTAGCTCTAAGTTGAAATGATGATCCCTCTTGCCGTTGTGACCTCCTGATTTAGATTTCCACTCTACTGTTTCCTCTTTTTAAAACTTATTCACCGTTTTGTTGATGGTTCTTGAAAATGGAAAGTGAATGTTGTACCATTGCTGAAGGTCTGAATGATCATTTTCCTCTCCCCATCGAATCGAATATAGATCAAATATGCATTGGAGTCCGACAGAATCAGAAAGTAAAGAACGAATATAAAACGGTTCTCAATCTAACATGTTTCACTTTTTATTAAATCTTCATCAAAATATCTTATTCTCTGATGAAGCTTTAATATAAGTGAAACGTTAGATTGATAAACATTCCTATTTGTCCTTTATATTATCATATATATATATATATATATATATATATATATATATATATATATATATATATATATATATATGATGAACTCACCCGTTTTCGACGTATGAGTGTCTTTCAGTTCAGTTTTTAATCCTTTACCTGTCCCCGTCGCCTTAATTCTCTCGCCAGTGGACTTTTTGCTCAGGTGGAATAGCAAAGAAGGAACACAGAACTGAACTGCAGATTATCCACACAAAAGATTTGTTTAGAGCGGTGAGGGCTTGAGTAGAACCAGCCACACTTTTTGGAAGTGCTGGTCACAAGGAGTTGGTGCAAATATTTACCACGAACACAATAAACAACACCCTTCAGGTTTTATTATCACGGAGTTATACCTCTCCGGTACTGCCAGTATACAGAAGAGTGCAGCGCATTTCGATGGTAATTTCACGTGATTTAGCCCCCGCCTACTGAAGTCGTTTGCAGGGTTTGGCGCGTGGGGATTTAGGGGGTAGGTGAAGACCAGTGTTGCCCGTCCATCTTAATAATAATAATAATAATAATATTTCATTCTTACATTACCTCTTTAGCCAGTGTTCCCTGACGATCCGCGTAAGTGAAACCTTGGTAGGTTTATCTGACTCTTTAGGTTTAATTAGGTTTGCTCTACTTAGTTTATTCAGCATTTATTTAGTTATTTTTCTTACCCGTATCGGTTTTTTTTCTTTGCACTCTGAACTAGGATGCTAGAGGATTGTCTTCGGATGACGTACATGTTCTTTGTTCTTTCTTTTTTTGTACCTTTTTTCTCTTGGATATTGGTCTGTTTATTTACATATCAAAGTACCTAAGGTTTTCCGGACGAGTATAATTTCTTATATTTATAAGATTACTAGCAGTAGAGCCCGGCGCTGCCCGGGGATATAACAGTAAGAGATAGATCAAGTATCCACCATCATAAAGACTGAAAAGTAAAAAAGACAAAGATTATTGTTTAAGGTTGACGGACACGCATGTCTTAATTATATTTTTTTTTTTACGAATTGGTCAAACCCAAACTCAAACAAAAACATTGTTTTCAATCGTTATGAGTCTATCGATTGATGAATAGAATTTTATTATAAACAATTGTCTTGTAAATGGAATTTTTAAAGCATTCTGAATGTATAAATAAAGAAAAAAGTGTGCAAGACAATAAGAAACACTACCTGCCAAAAAGAAAGTGGATGTTTGTTTTATCGGCTTAAAAATGTAAGAAATCCGATCCCATATATAAAGGAACACACACACACAAACAACCTGTTTTTTTTTAAACCGATCTGACTTGTCCCCCTTTCATTCTCACGATGTGTTTTAATCGTGTTTTCAAATTGATTTTGTTAAAAAACAATTGTGTTTTTCCCATTATCGGCGCCGTTAGAACCACCACAAAGTAATTTTATGTAGTCCTGTGAAGTTTTGTTGAAATCGGCTAAAAATGTAGGAAATCCGATCCAATATATAAACGTTCCACACACACACACACACACACACACACACACACACACACACACACACACACAATCTGCGTTTTATAATAAGTAAGATATATATATATATATATATATATATATATATATATATATATATATATATATATATTTAACGACAGGCGTTTTATATCGATTAATGTTAATGATCCGCTTTTTCAAAATTATGGATCATCCTTCTTAGAGAAGGAGAAATTCCATTAGAAATTCTCCAAACGTCATTTTGGCAGAAAAACACTGGAAATCAGGTAATGTAGAGGTAACTGGTGACCTTCGTCGACCGCTAAGTTTTGTGACGTAGCCTAGGTGTGACGGGTGTGTTTTTTTTAATTTTTACATTGAATTAAGGATGTAGGTACTGCTAAAATTTTGAGTGATATCTGTCCTCATGTATGACAACAGAAATGTGGTTCTACAGAAGGATACTGAGGATACCACAGATCGAACATGTGAGCAAGGATTTTGGAGAAAATGGAAACAAAAAGGAAACTTCAACATAACATCTGGAAGAGACAGTTGACATTTCTG